GTTTTTTTGGTTGCCTTTTTTTTTCATAAATTCCAAAGTGAGAAGGAATCATTATGATCATCTAGTCTGACCTCCTGTATAACACAGGCCATAGAACTTCTCCAAAATAATTCCTAGAAAATACCTTTTATAAAAACATCTGATCTTGATTTAAAAATTCAGTGATGAAGAAATTCACCACAACTCTTGGTAAGTTGTTCCAGAGGTTAACTACGCTCACTGAAAAATGTGTTCCTTATTTCCAGTCTGAATTTGTCTAGCCTCAACTTTCGTTCTCTAGCTCAATGAGAGCTAACACGATTATGTCTAACTCAAGCTCAGAACCACACACCCTAGCTCCAAGTGTAGATGTACCCTAAAAGTCAGAGGAAGTTGGTCACCTAATGCCCCTTTGTGCCTTTGAAAATCTTTCCCCTAAATGAACACATAACTAATTCCAACAATGTTAGGAATTACTGTTTATCAGTTTTCCCACAACAGTTCATCTACATGAAAGAAGCACATATATAAATAACAGGCTAACTTGATATTTATTCAGTACTCTAAATCAAATGAAATTCTGTTTTTAAAAAAATAAATAAAAGCCAGAGAGACTGCTTAGTTGTCTTTGTCAGGTTTTGAATTTCTAAGAACCCTAGCATCATCATTACTTATTCTAGCAAAGCTGAGTCATTCTTCTGATGTCGATGAATCAAGAGAATGATACGGGTTACTGTGTGTGGGTCTTTCAGATGAGACTTTAAAACCCATGGTCCTTCTTTTCTGCATTTTGTAAGAGTCACAGTTAAATTTAAGAGAAATTCTGACCAAGGATACTTTCTCCACTTTTGTTCAGTGTGCTGAGCTCCATTTAGATGCAACTCTAACATCAAAGAAGTGGTTGTAATTCCATGGTGCTTTTTGTATAGTATATGGTCCTGACCCTTCTTCAGGACTTCATTTAGTCAGACTGAAAAATGCTCTGTAGATATTCAGTAACATATTACATTTTACATATTTTTTTAAAATGACTTACTACGGGTAAGTCACTGTTCCACTGTCTGAATGTTATTCATAGAAGGTTAGGGTTGGAAGAGACCTCAGGAGGTCATCTAGTCCGACCCCCTGCTCAAAGCAAGACCAACCCCAACTAAATCATTCCAGCCAGGGCTTTGTCAATCCAGGCCTTAAAAACCTCTAAGGAAGGAGATTCCACCACCTCCCTAGGTAACCCATTCCAGTGCTTCACCACCCTCCTAATGAAATAGTTTTTCCTAATATCCAACCTAGACCTCCCCCACTGCAACCTGAGACCATTGCTCCTTGTTCTGTCATCTGCCACCACTTTGAACAGCCTTGCTCCATCCTTTTTGGAACCCCCCTTCAGGTATTTGAAGGCTGCTATCGAATCCCCCCATCACTCTTCTCTTCTGCAGACTAAATAACCCCAGTTCCCTCAGCCTCTCCTCGTAAGTCGTAAGCCTCCCTATTCATCCATTTCTGTTTCACAAATTAGGAATTCCATTTATTTGTTGAAATGTGACAAAGCTTCTTATTATCCTTCATAATTGTGGGTATATGACACTAAAACTTAGAAAATTCTGTTGCCTGGGAAAAAAGTGGACACTGGGGCTTCCATCTGGGGATGGTTAGTGATGATTCTGGCTGCTCAAGAGTAGAATGGTTTGATACTCATTTCCAGGGACAGCCTGAAAAATATAGAGAAATATTTTGGGGTTATTGGTGGGGAGGTTGTGTGGGCCATTGCCAAGGTTTGTGGTGGAAGGTGAAAAAACACCATCAGTCTGGAGACTGTATGTCCACAATACTCTTAGAGTTATTGTATTTGGCCATGTGTGTGGTGTGGATTGGAATTCTAATTCCACCCTCAGTTCTCATCCATGGTATCCAAATATGGTCTTGGAACGTAAATGAGTTTGGTGCACTCAGTGTTAGTGGCGATTTTAGAATATCATTACAACATGGCCCTTTAAAGTGGTTAAATGACTGTTTTGTGATTTAGTGTCTCTCATAGACAAGAGCCAGGACTCTGGTTTAATAAGCACAGAGGAAATCATTTCCTTGGGATGATGGATGCCCACAGATTGTGTAACTCACTGGCTCTGTAACATGTAGACTGAGATAAAGGATTTAGGCTGCACAGTGTGACACACAGGACATGTGTAAATCCTGATTTAGATTAAGCAATCATGGAATGGATTGCTGGCATTGCTACAATACTCCTGAAGGCCAAAACAAGTAAGGACGGACTTGTTCTACAGAGGTGCAGAAAGGTTTTGGCAGAGGGTAGACATAGTGTCCTACACAGCTCTTTATTTATTTATTTAGCAGAAGTGTTTGTGTGTGCTACAGCTACTGTTTAGCCTTATGAAAGGAGCATGTGGTCTAAAAAAATGGACAAAATGGCAGCTCATTAAGGAGCTGAATTTACTGTGACAGGCAGGAAGCTTTTCCTAACTCTGCTCTGGGAGGGAAAAATTCCCCTGGCATAAAACTTCATTTTGAGGTCAGAAGGTGAAAAAACCAATACTACTAGCCAAGGCGAAACAGAAAATCAAATCAGTTTCAGGCTGTGGATTTTTTTTCCCTTTGAAAAGTCATTGAAAATGAGGATCTAATTTGGACTTGCCTTGTGCATATTTCAAAGACTCACTTTTAAAGCAATAGCGACTTGATAAATTACAAAGTTTAGTCTGTGGAGTCACTTCATGTATTATCTAGTTTTGCCACTGAGAAACTAGAAGGTTGGTTTAATTACTTGAATTATGCCAAGCTCAAATCTTCACCCAAAAAATCAAAATCAATTTCTCCAACATCCCCTGGGGAACTAGAAAGAAGAAATTTTTATGCCAGTCTGACTAAAAGAAATGATATTTAAATACTGAGCATCGTTTTAGTCAGTTGATTATCATAAAATGTCACTCTGTTAGTAGACCAATGTATGAAATATTCAGTTTCATAACACATCCTTCGAGATAATGTAGTCAAGAATCATTAACTCATTTATTTTGATGCCATATTCCATTGGCTGTGAGAGTTGCACGAGTCACATTTTTTTAAAAATAGGAATGTGCAATCTGTGAACAGAGAAATGGGTAAGGATTATGCATACAGAGTTTGCAGCTGTTTGCACCCAGGAGTGCATATTTTGCATGCTTATTTTTGAAAATGTGGCCTACTAGCTGTCAATGATTAATAACCAAGTACAATTAAAATATGATGTGCTCTGAATCAGAAAAGCTTGCATGTTGATGATGGGATGAAACTTATCATGATGTAAGCTCTGATCTTCATGTTTGGATGATAAGGATCCATATCCACTTTGATGTGAGAATCAGATGGAAAATGTTGCAAGATCTAGCTCCCTTCTGACGTTTCTATAAAGTTCTAGGTGTTGGCTAAGATGGTGGTACCATGAGAGCAGCTTTTCTTGGGCTATTTCAGTGCTTTTACTTTTGGCTTATGTTGTAATTTGCAGAAGGGCATGACATTTATTAAAAAACAGAACCCCTTGGATTTATACAACTTGAAATGTTGGTTGGCTTGAGATCTGTCGGGGAGGGGGGAGAGGATTGAACTAGGAAATACCAAATTAATGAAACTTCGTGTTTGTTTGTTTGTTTGTAAACACTATTTAGTGCAAATTCTGCTCTTGGTTTAATTACTGTAATCTCATGTTTTTGAGGCTGCAAGGGTGAATTTGAGGTTGATTAATATTTTTCTCTCTCAACAGTACTCCACAGAGCTATGTAGCATGAGATGGAAATAGGGCTGATTCAAACAGAAGAAGTTATAAAGTCAAAAGACAAACCACTGAAAAGATTCCCAAACCGAGCAGTTAGACTGTTCCAAACTGAGTCAGGAGGAGTTTTACATATGCTTTGGCTTTTATACTCCATTAAATAAATAAATCTGCAGATTAGAAGAGATTATGCTGGAAAAGTATCATATTGTATGTATAAAATGACCCAAACTTGATCATGTAAAAAGTAGTTACTTTTTATAGTGAAAAGCATTCACAAGTTCATCAAAACTTTGAGGAGCATTTTAGTGGAGCTTTTTCAGTCATGTCATCATCTTTTTTTCCATATGGCATTAGCAGATTTTGGTCGCATCAGATTATTGTTTGTTTATCCTAATGCAGTAAGATAGAAGGATCATAATTCAGGATATATTAGCAAAAATTAATGAAAGTACTTACATGATATGACATTAATGTTGTGGAAAGATGATAATGCAATAGGACTGTTAGTTGGAATAGAGAGATAATTCTGCCTTTCCCATTTTATATTCTGTTTACCTGTTGCTATAGCAATGATCAGTTTGAAAGGTGGTATGCCCTTGATCCACTTGTGTAGCTTCCATTGACATCTCTGGAAATTGCTTGTGGGGATCAAAGGTAATTGTATCTAAAGAAGGCCCTATGCTTATTCCACATAAAAAAATGCTCCTTCGTGCTCATGAAAAGAAATAAAAAAATAGCAATGGAGTTGTTATAGGTTTCACCCCCACTCTGAACTTTAGGGTACAGATGTGGGGACCTACATGAGATCACCCCCTAAGCTTATACCAGCTTAGTCTAGTTGCTGCCACCACCAAATCGTTTAAGCAACCGTTTGAGTCATTTGGAAACTCTGTCTTCCCCCCAAAATATCTCCCTCCCAAGTAATATAACCCTTCCCTGGGTAGCCTTGAGAGACTTCTCCACCAATTTCCTGGTGAACGCTGATCCAAACCCCTTGGATCTTAAAACAAGGAAAAATCAATCAGGTTTTTAAAAAGAAGACTTTTAATTAAAGAAAAGGGGTAAAAGGAATACCTCTGTGAGATTAGCATGCAAACTACTCTCACAAACAACAGTTTCAAAACAAAGAGGATGTCCCTCTGGGCAAAAACCTTAGTTACACAAAAGAAAACCCAATTTAATTCTCCCTCTATGCAAAAAGAAAGTCACAAAAGAAAATAAACATAACCTAATACATTCCTTATTTAATACTCACTACCCTGTTTGATTCCTGGATCTTTTCACTCCGGCACACACTTACAGAACAGAACAGACAAAGGACTGAATTCCCTCCTTCCTCTTGAAACATCTTGTCCCCCCATTGGTTCCTCTGGTCAGGTGTCAGCTAGGCTATATGAACTTCTTAACCCTTTACAGGTAAAAGAGGAATTAACCCTTAACTGTCTGTTTATGACAGGAGTACAGGAAAGACTGAGTTCCACCAATGACTGTTCTCCTGCAGTCACAAGAAATCAGTCGTGGGATACACTTAAGAACTCCAGCAGAAGGTGAAAAAAACCCAAGTAGTTCAACTCTGTGCACGTGAACAAAGATCTCTGTATAAGTATTTAATCACAGTTATACTCTGCAATACTGTTAATAGGCAGACAATTGTCTTTCCCCCCACCCCCTGGAATCCCAGTAACATGGATTCTTTCAGTGCTTTCTGGAACTAACAATGGACCAGGTCCTCAGCTGCTGTAAACTTAGCTTCAGTGGAGCTGTGTTGATTTACACCATCTACAGTCTGAACCAATATATCTAGCAGGGGTGGCACTAGGAGGGGACTTGTGGGGGCTGTAGCCACCCCATAGCTGCTGCTGCTGCTCTGCGGCTGCCCAACTGTGAAGGCAGAGCGAAGAGAGTGGCAGCTGCTGGCTGGGCACCCAGCTCCAGCAACAGAGAAGTAAGCCTGGGCAGGGGTTAGGGATGCCTGAGAGCAGCCCTGGCCCATGTCCCCACCCGCTAGGGCACGTCGAGGGTCCGGGGCTCCACACAGTGGTCCAGACTGACCTTCTCCACCAAGGCTCCTGTACCCACCCACCCCCACGGTTGCTGCTCCCCAAGCACTGCCAAGGACTCTGCCAACCCTGAAGCTGGGTCCCTTGCCTGGGTGTCTCTTTCTGCACTGCCCGGCTCTGGCTTCCAGAATCTGATGGGGTCATGGAGAAGGGCCTTGGAGGAGGAGGAGGACCAGGGGGCAGGGCCACAAAGAGGGGTGGGACCTCGTGGTGAAGGGGGGCTCAGCCCCACCATCAGGAAGAGTCTGGTGACACCCCCGATATCTAGTCAGCATAAATCTGTGCTTTAGTCTTATATTTACCATCAATGAACAAATCTTTGCAACAGACATATTTTTACTTATAATATATAAGGCCATGTCTATTCTACAAAATTATGTTGACCTACTTTATATCAGCATACAGCTGCCACAGTTATTACATGGCTTGTGCATGTGCACATTACGTTCCGTGTATTGGTGGTTCATGTCCTCATCAAAGCATTTGTATCGATGCAGAGTGCAGTGCACCACGGGTAGATATTGCATTGTGCAACTTGCCACCATCCAGCATAGGGTGTTTTGGGAAGTTTTTGCAATGCCTTGTCGGGCTGAAACGAGTCACACAGGGGTAAATGGGAGCATGGGGTCAACTTCTCTTAACACCTTGTTTTCCATTCCATAATTTCATCTGTATCCCATAATATTTTGCACTTTCTCAAAATCTCCACATCCCTCCTTGCTGTCTGCCATCTCTGACAGAAGCATGGAATCTCTGTACAGCTCTGAACTATTGTCATGACCATTGCAAGCAGTATTTGCAGAGCCACAAGGGGAGCCCTGGGGAACATGACCATTTCTTGGAGTCTAGCTTGCTGTGGGACATAGAAACAATTCAAGGTTGCTGGTGGCATTCATGGAGCAACTGGGATTGGTGGAGTGCTAGTTCTGGGCCAGAGAAACGAGCACTGACTGGTGGGATCGCATTGTCCTGCAGTTTGGGATGATGAGCAGTGGCTGCAGAACTTTTGGATGCACAAGGCCACATTACCAGATCTGCATGCCAAACTCGTCCCTGTCCTCCAGCTCATTTGATGCTTCTCAACTGTCAGTGAGACAGAGTGGTGGTTGCACTGTGGAAACTTGCAACCCAAGTCGGGAATCAACTTAGAGTCGGGAAATCCACCACACAGGCTGTTGTCATGCAAGTGAGCAAGGCCATTAATCGTCTCTACTACTCAGGACTGTGACTCTGGGCAATATGCAGGACATAGTGGATGGTTTTTCAGCAAGGGGCTTCCTGAACTGCTGTGGGGCAATAGATGGTACTCATATCCCTAGTTTAGCACCAGACCACCCCGCCGCAGAGTGCATCAACTGAAAGGGCTACTTTTCTATGGTAATGCAAGCACTGGGGACGCTTTACTGACATCCGTGTGGGCTGGTCAGGAAAGGTGCATGACGTGCGCATCTTTAAGAACATAGGAATATTCAGAGAGGTATAAGCCGGAACTTTCTTTCCCAACCAGTGGATTACCATTGGGAGTGTTGATATACCAATAGTGATCCTGGGAAACCCAGCTTACCCTTTGCTCCCATGACTCATGAAGCTGCACACCAGCCACCTCAACAGCACCAAGGAGTGTTTCAAGTACAGGCTCACCAGGATGTAGTTCAATGTGTCTTTGGTCATTTTGAAGGGTCTCTGGAGTTGTTTACTTAGGAGATTGGACCTCAATGAGAAAAATAGCCCAACGGGTATAGCTGCCTGCTGTGTTCTGCATAATATCTGTGAAGCAAAGGGGGAAAAGTTTCTGCCAGGGTGGAGGTCAGAGGTGGAGCGGCTCTCTGCTGAATTGGAACAGCCAGATACAATGGTTATTAGAAGAGCTCAGTGCGGAGCTATATAGCTCAGGGAGGCTTTGAAAGAACATTTTAATAGTGAGCCAGAGTAGTGTGTGTTGCTGTAGTGTGCTCTATGTGGCCTTGCTCTTTTGTAGCCCAGTACGATTCTTGTAGTGATTGCTGTGTCTGTAGGAATATCACATTGTCAATGCACCGATTAATATTGTCTGTGAATGATGATATGGGCTCTGTGACAAAATGAAGTAACAGAAAATTGGTGCATGTCAGGCCTGCTCAACACCATACACTGTGAACTAATAAAGATGACTCTTGAGCCAAAATATAGAATTTTATTTAGTAACATGAACCAGGAAATTAAAAAAATATTTAAAACTTAATAAATTAAGAACCTAAGAAGGGGAAAGAACATTCATGTCCATTTCTGCTACACATACATCCACCATGGCTTTCACAAGTCCGTATATGTGAAGCTATGATTGTATTTAATGTGCCCCAGAGTGGAGTGGCAGGAGTAGTACAGCGACCACTGACACCACATGAAAAGTTGAAGGGGGGGGGGTGTATAGGAAGGTGCCGATTATTGAGTTCTCTACAGGCTACAGAGGGAGGTGAACATGGGATTGTTGACCCTGCAGGTCTACCAGAATCTGCTGCATCTTTGTTTGCTCCCTGTTTATGTCCTTGTGCATCTCCTCCTTTTCCTGCATGGACAATTCCTCTCTACTCTTTCCTTCTGTGTGCTGTCTACAAGGGTGATCCTCCAGGCCCTGGTCCCATTCTCTGATGCAGCACAGGCTTGCAGGATCTCTTGGAACATGTCCTCCCGAGTCCTCTTCTTTTTCCTCCTTATCTGGCTCAGGTGTTACACAGGTGTGGAGGGGGAGATCCTGAAGGCCACAATGGCAACAGCTGCAGATATAACACAAAGGTACCATTGTCAGTGTATTCATGACAGAAATTGAAACTTAG